GTAAGGTTTCCAAAGAGAAATAAATTTTTCTTCTTCTTTCGAAAACTTTTTGGGTAGTCATCGGTTGAAGCAAGTATTAAGTCTTAGTACGTATGACGTATACGATCATATGTTGGCAACAATGCACCGGATCCAATGAGATGTGGCTTGTATAGATTTATCATGCAAAGACCAATGGGTGCGATCATACCAGCACTAATGCACCGGATCCCATCAGAACTCCGCAGTTAAGCTTGCTTGGGCGAGAGCAATACTAGGATGGGTGACCTCCTGGGAAGTCCTCGTGTTGCACTCCTTTTCCATTTTTCTTTCTTTTAATTTTCTTCTACTTTCGGAATTTCTTATGGGAAGCAATCGGTTCATGTAAGCATTACGTCTTAGTATGGCTGCGAATGAACAACATGTTCGATGAACGGCATGTGAACAAGCTGGATCAAAGGCCGTTTATGTTCGCTCGGTAAGGTTTCCAAAGAGAAATAAATTTTTCTTCTTCTTTCGAAAACTTTTTGGGTAGTCATCGTTTGAAGTAAGTATAATTCTTAGTACGTATGATGTATACGATCATATGTTGGCAACAATGCACCGGATCCAATGAGATGTTGCTTGTATAGATTTATCATGCAAGAATTAATTGTTGCGATCATACCAGCACTAATGCACCGGATCCCATCAGAACTCCGCAGTTAAGCGTGCTTGGGCGAGAGTAGTACTAGGATGGGTGACTACCTGGGAAGTCGTCATCTTGCACCCCTTTTTCATTTTTTTTTCTTTTAATTTTTTTCTACTTTCGGAATTTCTTATGGGAAGCAATTGGTTCATGTAAGCATTATGTCTTAGTATGGCTGCGAATGAACATGTTCGATGAACGGCACGTGAACAAGCTGGATCAAAGGCCGTTTATGTTCGCTCGGTAAGGTTTCCTAAAGAGAAATAATTTTTCTCTTCGTTTCGAAAACTTTTGGATAGATTCATCGTTGAAGTAATGTATTAAGTCTTAGTACGTATGATGTATACGATCATATGTTGGCAACAATGCACCGGATCCAATGAGATGTGGCTTGTATAGATTTATCATGCAAGACCAATGAGTGCGATCATACCAGCACTAATGCACCGGATCCCATCAGAACTCTGCAGTTTAGCGTGCTTGGGCGAGAGTAGTACTAAGATGGGTGTACCTCCTGGGAAGTCCTCATGTTGGACCCTTTTTTCATTTTTTTTTCTTTAATTTTTTCTACTTTCGGAATTTCTTATGGGAAGCAATCTGTTCATGTACGCATTACGTCTTAGTATGGACTGCGAAATGAACAACATGTTCGATGAACGGCACGTGAACAAGCTGGATCAGGGGCCGTTTATGTTCGCTCGGTAAGGTTTCCAAAGAGAAATAAATTTTCTTCTTCTTCGAAAACTTTTTGGGTAGTCATCGGTTGAAGTAAGTATTAAGTCTTAGTACGTACGATGTATACGATCATATGTTGGCAACAATG